CCCGCCCCGCCCCGCCCCGCCCCGCCCCGCCCCGCCCCGCCGGGTCCGCTCGGGCGCAGGGGCAAGCAGCGTCAGAGACGCGGTCGCCACCTCGAATCGCACCCTCGGTCTGCAGGGAGAAGAGCGGGCCCCTCCACATGCTCCTCCGCCACCTTCAGTCTGAAGGTGTAAGGGGCAGGGCCAGGAGAGGGTGGGGCAAGCACAGGCTCCACCCAGTCCTAATAACAATTGTTCTGTCAATGGGAGGGGTCAGATGACCCACTGTTGTCCCTTCCAAGCTGACCTATTCTGTGTCCCTACACAGGGGAAGGGGGCGCTCTGGAATCCATTTGCCCAGGCAGGGCTAGTGCTATACACAGAACACCTCCTGTGTGCCCAGGATTTCCCACAGGTGTTTCAAAGCCCAGCCCTGCTGACCATGCTAAAGTGGGCACAAGCCCTTGCAGAGCAGGTAGCAGTGACGTGCCCGGGGTACAGCTGAAACCATCCTGCTGGAGGTAATTCCAGCCCAGCCATCAGTGTCTGTGTGGTTTAAAATGGAGGAGGCACTCGATCCCTTTCCTGTTCCTGGCTGGGACAAGACGGATGGAGTGGTCAGGGACTTGCCATGGAAGGACTTAAACAACTCCCTGAGATGAGGAATCTCCCCGTTCCCCAGCACAGGTCGATCTCGGATCCCTAGGGTAGGTGCAGGAGCCTTTGCTGCAGCCCAGCCCTGCTCATCTCCCTCGGGCCACTCTCCTCTCTCAGAACCTGCACTGCTTCCCTCAGCATTCCGAGGAGAAGCCTGGGATCCTGCTACAGCAGCAGAACGCCCCCCCGCCCTTGCCAAGAGCATCGTTGGCCTGGGCATGCCTCCCGGCTGGGTGGCAATGGAGACTCAGCTCATCCCATTGCCGTCTGCAGCTTCCACGGTGGGTCCTGCACGGAGAGATGCTTCTCAGGCTCCAGCTCAGCAGGCTTCCCTCCTTCCCGGCTTCCTCTGAGCGGCAGCGTGAGAAAGGCTCAGAGTGTCCTGGAACTGTCTTCGCCACTGGATGGCACACGAGCCCCAGCAGAGGAGCCTGGGTGGCCTCGGGGTGCTGAGCAAACCGCTGTGGGCTGCGGGCTGGGGGTGCCGGAGGCTGCTGAGAGGTGCGGGGCGTGCCAGGAGGTGCTGGCAGGTGCCGGGCTCCCAGCCCCTCAGGTCTGCTCGCTCCACGCCGCCCTCGGGACTGGCGGTGGCTGGCTCGGAGCGGGACTCTGACCTTGGCTGAACGGTATCTGCCGCACCTCCGGCTGGGCGTCCAGCCGCTCCTCAGGAGTACGCAATTTTCTTCCTGACCAGCACTCCCTCCAGATAAGGGTGAGCTTACCTCCCTGCTCCTCTCAGGCTGGAAATTCAGGGAGGCTTTTAAACCTGCTGGCCTTGACGAGCATGGCCTGAAACGAGCTCTTTATTTAATATCCTTCTTTGTGCCAATGATACTGCTGGAGGGCAGAGGGTGCCAGCCTGGCCAATAGCTCACAACAAAAACTTTTATCTCCCCCAAATGCCTGAGCAGCCACTTTTCTATCTGCCCCTGTTGCCCTCTCAGTCCTGTTCTCATCAGCACAGAGGTACATCTGCATCCCTTTCCTCACTGGGACATCTCCACCAGCATCCAGGCAATGCAGGGTGGCCTTATGCTGTGGGATGCCCAGAGCTGTGGTGCTGGTATGGGGCAGTGCCAGACTGCCCAGGCTGTGGCTCTCCTGTGGGGTCAGCCTGCCCCGCCTTCTCCCTGATGCTGCCACCCCATCAGCTGTGCTGCAGGTGCCTGTGGCCTGGCTGTGCCCAGGAAAGTGAGTGGACAGCCAGAGGAACAGACAGATTGTCTCTCTGCTGCCCTTGGCCCCATTGTTCTCCCACGGCCACTGTGTCAACAGGAACTGGAAGAGGAAACAGGGGCTAAGGAGATGCTAAGACTCCTGCTGCTCAGGGAAAGATAAGGAGGGAGGGGGCATTTACGGACTATCCAGGGGTGGCGGATGCAGGAGGTTCCCCTGTAGCGCAGGAGAAGGATAGCATTGTGTCCCCAGACAGCTATCCATGTACCATGCTGAGTGTGGGCAGTGACTGGAGATGTATGGGATACTCAGGTGATGGTTTAAGCCAGATGTTTAAAAAGATGAAAGTGATTTGCCTGTGAAGCTTTGGACTGGCACTCTGGGGAGGACTCCATCACCCACAGACCCTCCTCATGGCACAGAGATAGCTGGGCTCTGGCTGGGTTTCTTGGAATGTTCCTGTCTCCTCCAATCCATTCGAAGGGTGTCTGCACCCAGAGCCCTGAGGGGTGAGATGCAAATGGGCGATCCTGGCTGTGTCTACCATGGCCCCAGTATCCAGGCCACTGCACTTCCTGGGAGGAAGGGCTGAGTGCCAGGTGTCACTGCTGCCTCTCCCGGACACCCCTGGGATGCAGCAGTCTGCTGTGCACCTGCTCCAGGAGCAGGACACTAACCTTCCTTCATCCACTCTGCCAACAAACCAGGACCGAACTTTGAACTTTGCCCTTGAAAGGGGTGACAAAGCCCTAAGAGCAGCAGCCGTGCTGCTCTTGGCCAGGGCTCACAGGTCTTGCTTAGAGCACACACAGGAAGCACTCCCACTGCCACAATCTCCTTCCTGGCTCCCAGTCCATGGGTTTGGTGGCCAATGGACCACCACTCTGCAGCTGCTGATGGGCAGCAGCCGAGGAGCTGCTGTATCTGTGTTCTGGACCTCTCCAAGTGCAGCACCTGTACGTCTTTGCAGACACCCACTGTCTGTCTGGGAGCCAGAGCCGAGCCTTGGCACTTCCAGCCATCTGTGCTGGAGCTGAGCACTGGTGCCTTGTCCAGTCCTGCGGGTTTGTAATCGTGTCTGCTCAGGGTCACACTCGCAATGTTGCCAAAAGCCTCCAACACTCCCACAGCCCTCTGGGTGCCCTGAATCCACACCCTCCCTGTCATCAAGTTCTTCCCAGGAACAGTAAGGAGATCTCCAGGCCTGTTTTTCCAGGGAAATCACTGGGACACAATAGCATCTTCAGCTGGAGCCTGGCTTGGCTCTACTGACATGTCGCCAACACCTAGAGCCCTTCCTCTCCCTCCCAGCAGTTTGTTTTGTTTCCTTCAACGTTTATAGGTCAGCTGGAGTCAAGAGAGCTAATGAGCAGGAGCATGGCCCCAGGAACTTCCCAGAGTCTTATAGACTAGCAACAGGCTGGGATAGAGATGGGGAATGCTCCAACAACATACAGCTGATTTGGGAATCCCTGCATTTCAAGGGTGGTGCAGGGCCAGTTCAAAGATGATGGAGTTGACTTGCAGTGAAAGTGAAAGGTGCAAGTCTTCAAAGAGAAGGTCTGTGAAAAGAAAATTAGGAACAGTTTAATATTAAACACTGTGTTATATTAAACAATAAAACAGAAGGGTGATTTTGTTACCTTTAAGCTATATTCAAATTTGTGTTCTCGTCATCAAACCAGATGAAGGGATTTCCTGGGGAATTTATATGAGGAAGGTTTTGGGACATACACTTGTGATGCTGCTCTATTGGGGCACTCAGACTACGACACCAATCACAACTCTTGCTTCTTGTCGTTCAGCATTATTTCCAATGCAGGAACCAACTTGCACATCTGGTCTCTGGTGTGGAAAAATGCCAGATCGAGGCAAGGAGACTGTAACCTCTCCAGCATCTCTGGTAGACCACTGGGTGTGCCCAGTTCTGGGGGAGGTGAAATGCAAAAGCTGCTTCCTGGTCCCTTGCTGCTGGTAGATCCCACTCAGAGGACACAGGGATCAGGCTCAGGAGCCACAGCCAAGCAGCAAGTGAGCACCAGAGCGAGCACGAGGCTTTTGCCTGCCACCCATCTGCCCTGCAGCCGCAGCACCTCCCAGCGCTGCTGTGGCAGGAGCTCCTGGAACCAGCATGGGATCCAAAGAGCACACCGACGTCAGAGCCAGGACAAAGTCTGGCAGGACACTGAGAGGTGTGAAAGGCAAAGTGCTGTCACATGTGCCTGATCCATGTGACTGCCAGTGCAGGACATCGCCCGCAGTGTCTGCCCGGTGCTCTGCACTGGCCACACATGTGAGGCCAAGGGGATGTGTCCCACCACACAGGTCTGAAGCAAGCACAGGAACAGGAGAATCATCCATTTCTGTGGCTACTGAGTACCTGGGACATGCTGTGTGGTGTGTCTCAAGACAATCTTGGTCCCCTGGCATGACCGCACCAGTCCCTGGCGGGGTGTGGGGCTGAGTGGGTGCGTGTGAGGTGCCCATGCACCCCAGCCTTTCAGGGGGCCTTGTCCACACCAGCACTAATAATATCAAGGTGTTCTGCCAAGTTCCTTCCAGCAAACCTATGAGTTCATTCAAAGTGACAGGGGACCTGATTTATTATACTAACGAGCCAGCGATAAATAAACATGACCTGAGAGAATCCCAATCCCACAATTCCATTCTTGTTCGGCTCCTTGGGGGAGATGAAAGGTTTCCTACAATTTCCCAGTGCTACCCAGAATCTCCCCTACTTGATCTGCCAAAGCTTTCTCCTGCTGTCGAGCCTGGCATTTGATTGAATTGACAGAAGCGGCTTATTAATTGTACTAATGAGGGGCTCAGCAATATGGAGCGGTGGAGAGAGT